CACTTTGAGTCTATGGCATTTAACCACCATCCATCGTCACCATAAATATTTTTCAAATTTTATTATTCTAATGGTTCTTAGATTTGAACTCATTAGCTGCTTTTGAGTTTTTTTCTAAATTGAAGACTGGGAGCTTGCATGAGTCATAATATTGCAATTCATCCTTACTTTTTCTGATTATAAGGTGGAATTTTAAAACATGTATATAACTTGTTGTTGCTGTTGTTAAGCACTGTTAAGTCGATTCCAACCCATAGCGACCCTGTATAGAGCAGCAAATATTTCCACTAAATAATTAAGGCCTGTGTATTTCAAGTTATTTCTCATTTAGCTGAATAAGTAGATGTTGTTGTTGTTGCTAAGTGCGTTTGAGTTTGTTTTTACTCATAGAAACCTTGTGTATAACAGAACTAAACACTGAGTGGTCCTGCACCAGTTCTTTCATTTGAGCCCACTGTTGCTGCTACTGTGTCAATCCATCTTGTTGGAGGTTTTTCTTTTGTTTTGTTGACTCTCCACTTTACCAAGCATGATGTTCTATTGATTGGATGATTTATTCAATATTTTAAAATAAACAAGTAAGTAAAATGTTTTTCTAGTGTCTTCCTTTTGATGATTTTGGAAAGTGAATTTCAATATTGTTGTGGTTGTTAAGTGCCATCAAGCTAGTCCCAACTCATAGCAACCCTCTATAGGGTTTCCAAGGAGCAGCTGGTGAATTTCAACCAATGACTTTGAGACTCAAACCAACTTGTGGTCAAATGCTTACCTTATAATACCACACTTATAGAACAATAAAATCCATTTTCACCATAAAATTTACTTGATTAGCACTTCAGTTGAGATGCCTTACTACTATCACTAGATAAATACAGAGATAATATTTTAAAACAAAACAAAATTTGTTCTAAAAAATACTCAGAATATTTACTTTTTTTTTCATTTTAAAAGTCTTAGAAACTTATACCTCTAAAGTATATAGGCAAACTTACTTTAATTTATCAACATTACAGAATATTGTGTTAAATTCAGCAAATTTTATACTTTTCAAGGAAACAGAAATATAGTAGTTAAGATTTCAGAACATAATTAAAGCAATCAGTATCATTAAATTGTGCACTTGAAAAATTTGTAATTGCAGTGTTGTGTGACATGTGTTTTCATAACTATTTTAAAAAGTCAATTCGAACAATAAAAATACACCTAAATTTTTTTGAATAGAATTCTAAATGATTTCTTCTGTAGACACCTCTGCAAATTTAATAATTTCAATTTGCAAGGCTACAGAGATCACTAGTATTATTGGTAGGATACTGAAAAGAAATTCACTTATCCAAAGTGATCAAGGTAAAGTTAGATTTGAATCAATTCTGCCTTTTTTACCATAGACTTTTGCAACTCCCTTCACAGAAGTGTAACTCACAGTTAATCCCCTAATGCTTATGATCTAATAAATAAATTGCACATACACATATACAAATCAATGCAGTTTAAACACAAGCAATTTTAGTTTATGCTGGGTGTACAGCATATGCTTAAGGCTCAGAAAATGAGATCATATGTTCTGGGTTATTTAATTCAAACTTTATTTAGTAGTTTTAAAAAAGACAAAAGGCATGGAGGATGCATCCTACATCCTCTGACTTCACAAGTGGAAAGAAGAATCAAACTCCATAGGAGTCCAAGGCCAATTCCTAAGAGGCTGAGATCACACATATCTCCAACTTCCAACCTCCTTTACCTTATTCTGACACTAACTTTTCCTCCAAGGGCATTCTACTGGATTCAGTAATAGTGTAATTCAGTAATCAGAATTGCTACAAAGAACTCATAGACAATACTCACATTTATGAGGTTTATTAGGGAATTTGTTGTTAAGTGCTGTCAATAGGTTTTGACTCATACTACTCTGTATAGGGATTCTGAGGAACACTTTGTGGGTTTGAACTGCTGACTGTGGTTCACAGTTCATTGCTGATCCTACAGTGGCACAGGAGCAGAAAAGCTCAAAACAAAGGGTTTTTTTCAACCAGGATAACTTCTATCAGCCATATTTTGGCATACCTCTCTGGTCCTAGGCTTCTCAGCCTCCCAATCCCTTAGGCTTCTTTCCTACTCTATAGCTCTTTGTTGTTGTTGTTAAGTGCCATCGAGTCAGTTCTGACCCATAGCGACCCTGTATAGGGTTTCCGAGGTTGTAAATCTTTATGGGAGCAGAACGCCTCATCTTTCTCCTGAAGAGCGGCTGGTAGTTTCGAACTGCTGGCCTTAAGGTTTGCAGTTCGATTCGTAACCACTACACTACAAGAGCTCTTTAGTGCTGCCAAATTCCCAAATGGCATGCCACTCCACCATAAACTTCAGACCAAAGGCACTTGACTCTAGGTTCATGGGTGAGAAAATTTAGCTTCCTATTAAGTACCCGTTGTTGTTGCTGCTGCTGTTAAGCAACATCAAGTCATTTTCAATTCCAAATATCACTATTTAGGGCATTCTAGAAGGGGCTGGTGAGCTTGAATGACTGACCTTGCAGTTCAAGCCTACCTTGCAGTCCAGCACATTAACCACAGGCACCCAACTCCATAAGCAAGCCTCAAGCCTAAAGATACACAGTTTACTTGCCAGGTAGCCCACTACTCTGTCTCACAGCACTTTGTTCTGCTTCTGTCTCTCTTTGCCATCACAGCTATCTCCTGGATTGAGGAGACTCCATGAGCAGGATCTCAGGATCCAAAGGACAAGCTCCAGTCCAGGCTCTTATTTCTTGATTGTAGTGAGATTCCTATTGCTGCTTTTGAGATAGCTTGTCTTAAACCTAGCAGGATGACAAAATTAAATAATGCCCTCATTGAAGGCACTAGAATAATGCTTTCAATCCTATTAACAATTACTGATAACTGCCTCCTTTCTCATCAGCATCTTCCCTACTATCTCTTACTCAGAACTATCAGGAAAATAGGGAATACACACAATTTACATGGTTCTACTTAGTTGTTTTGTGCAGTTGCAAAGACTATTGCTAGAAGAACCATATTAAACATTTCACTACACTGCAGTAGAATTATCTGTAAACTTGCCTTAAATAAAAGATTAAAAGGATATAAATATTTGCTCACAACACAAATGTCTATATTTGGAACAATAATCTATAAAAATAGTAGTATAGGGAAAGTCAGTGTTTATGGAAATGAGTGAGTATATCACTTTGTTGGCTGAGGGTGTTTAAAAATGGGTGAACACAGTAAGAAGTTCAGGTGTTTTTGATGAATGTAGGGAAAAAATGACTGGTATGGGTAAGATTACAAACAAATTGAATGTCATCCTAAATAATTTGAATTTGTTATACACAAATAACCTTGCAGTTCAAACTAACTTTGCAGTCCAGTGTATTAAACCACATGGAGTCATGCTGTGGCACTGTGAGTTAATGCACTGAACTGCAAAGTCAATTTGAACTGCTATGGGTCGGAACAATGAAATATTCTATATGTACATAAAGATCACATCTATTTGTTAGAAAAAAACTGCAGAAACCCAGTACTATAGCCTTTGACCACCCTTCAGGTCATGTCTGCACTGGAACTAACTCTTATGGCCCAATTTTCAGTCAAGAAGTAGATAGGTATATAGCAGGAACAACACTAGCAAGGTGTGCTCACCAAGGGATGGTCATCATTCAAGATCAAAAGGGTAACACGTACCTAAGGGCAAAGTAGAGAAGGAATAGGAAAGTGGATGGAATGGAAATAAGCACAAGGTAGAAGTGCGACAACTGTTGTTGCATGGAGGGAATAGCAATTATTGAGATGAAACAAATTGTATGATTTGTCATATGTAAAATTGATCTTTTCTGTAAACCTTCACTCAGTTCACAATAAAAACCTAAAACGAATTTGAATCTAGTTTAGAGACAGTACTGAAGTCTTCTTGACAGCAAAGCTTTCCTTCTAGAAATGTTACAAAGTAGTGACCACTGAATGCCAAAAATAAAGTGATCTGAAAATGAACAGGAGAATATGACCTCATATAAATACTCAAACAATGGTAATCTTCTATCTGATAAATGACAGAAATCTCTAAGGAATGAACTGGAAAGGATATATAATGGATGCTTATAAATTCTCATAATATGATCATCATTATTATAATATGATCACCAACTTTCATAATATTAGAATAGATGACTAGAAAAAGGAAAATACAATTTTTATCACAATTAATCTCAGAAAATGTTCTCCATCAAAGAAAAATCAGTAAGAAGGCATACAAACATATGATATATACCAATTAACTCATTAAGGAAATAAATGCATTTTTATTTCCTTAGCTTTCCAAAAAATTAAAAAAAAATTTCTGTTATGGTGCTGTTGGATGAGCACTTTACTGCTAATCACAAGGTCGGTAGTTCAAAACCACAAGTTGCCCAGGAAACACTGTACAAGGTTGTTATGAGTTGCATCTGACTCAATAACACTCAACAACACTTAGTGACCTTTGTGAACTGTTTAAATTATAAATTTAACACATCTCTACTAAGCTATGTTTAAACATTCACCCCACTGACATAGTATATAAAAATATTTGCTCAGTGGAAAAAATATTTGTATATAGAAACAAAGATTTTAAACGCACTTTAAGGATCAACAATACAAAAAATGACATTGGAACATTTGTGAACACTCAATCAAGGATTCCCTATAATTGTTCACAACTGTCCTATAAACCCATAAATACAATCCTTTTCACTGCAAGAATTTCCCTGGAATTATCAAAATATTCCTGTCAATCTTGTACTTTACTAATTGAAGTCACATAAGATGACTATTTATAAGAACTAATGTTTCCTAGAAATATTTGTGCCTGTGTTTCAGTGATAGCAAAGGAAGCTTGAAGAAGTGGTTTTACACCCTGTTGTCTAAGTGGAATTCAAAGAGAAAACAAAGCACACTCAAAATTGGAATCTTCTCTACATAATTCTCATCTCAACAGAGAAAGAAGACATGAGTAAGGACAATCTATCCTTGACAACTGAGTTTATCCTCATAGGATTTACAGATCACCCAGAGCTGAAGACACTTCTGTTTGTGGTGTTCTTTGCCATCTATCTCATCACCATGGTGGGGAATCTTGGCTTGGTGGCATTGATTTTCATGGAGCGCCGTCTTCACACACCAATGTACATATTTCTGGGTAACCTAGCTCTCATGGATTCCTGTTGTTCCTGTACGATTACCCCCAAGATGTTACAGAACTTGTTTTCTGAGGACAGAATGATTTCTCTCCATGAGTGCATGGCACAATTTTATTTTTTCTGTTTTGCTGAAACTACAGACTGCTTTCTTCTGGCAGCAATGGCCTATGACCGCTATGTGGCAATATGCAGGCCATTGCAGTACCATACCATGATGTCGAAGCAACTCTGCATTCAGATGAACATAGGGGCCTACATAGCTGGAAACCTACACTCCATGATTCATGTATTATTTCTACTAAGATTAACTTTTTGTGGATCTCATCAAATCAATCACTTCTTTTGTGATATTCTTCCACTATTCAGACTGTCCTGTGTTGACCCTTATATCAATGAACTGATGGTACTTATTTTTTCTGGGTCAGTTCAAATCTTCACTATAACAGTAGTCTTAATCTCTTATATTTGCATCCTTTTCACTATTTTCAAAATGAAATCCAAAGAGGGAAGAGGCAAAGCTTTATCTACCTGTTCATCTCACTTTCTTTCTATCTCAATATTCTATGGCTCTCTTCTCATTATGTACATTCGGCCACGTTCAGACACTGTAGGTGATAATGATATAGTCATTGCAATTTTTTACACTCTAGTAATTCCATTATTAAATCCTTTTATCTATAGCCTAAGAAATAAGGAAATAATAAAAGTTTTGAAAAGAATTATTAACAAGTGGAAACCTCATAACATTCTGAAACAGATATCATCACCTGTGACAAATTGATCTTAAGTAGATAAACTGTTTTTCAATGTTAAGGGTACTGAAAAGTGGAAAATGATCCCTTTGTAAATAAAATATTAAATCACTAAATCATGATGATTTTAATTCAAATAATGCATCAATGGTTAGATAAATTAAGAAAGAAGGGATTCTGTTAAAATATATTTCAAAAACTAACCACTAAGTTATCTTAGGAATGAATTAATGTTTACACCCAATATCCAAACTGTGGTTGAATAAAATTAACTACACAGTCAACAATTGCTAGGAATGAAGTTGATATATAAAGGTAAACTCCCTTTAGCATTCTTGGCATATTTATGGAATCCCTAGGAATAATCATACAAGTCACACATATTTCAAGTTCTCACATATTAGTTACTTAAGCCATATCATCTATCAGAAACAAACTGTGCAGGAAAGCATCACAATGGTGGACTAGGCAGTAAGGCTATACAGGCTATCTACAACAAAGATACAGAAAACCAAAAGAAATAGATGCAGATGATAGCCTTGGAACCCTGAACTTCAGACCAAGGGAATAGTGATATGGACTGAATGCTTACTGGGATAAGACATCAAACAGACACAGCGAAAAAAGGAAACAGACTGGTGACTTGTGCTGTCTGACCAGATACAGTGAAGTTATCTCAAGAGTTTGTGAGCAGCTTCAGAAAGAAGACAACATATTGGAATTACAGAAACATACTGGCAACTGGTAAGGCGCTCTGGAAGCTTAGTGGTTACGAACCAGGCTGCGAACTGCAAAGTTAGCAGTTCGGAACTACCAACTGTTCCGCAGGAGAAAGATGAGGCTTTCTGACCCCCCTAAAGATTTACAGCCTCGGAAACCCTGTACAGGGTCGCTATGAGTGGACAGAAATAAACGTATAATTTCTTTCTTGTTCCCAACACTTCTCTGGTGTCCAGAGGCATGCCTCTCTCACAATCTCTGTAAAGCTGCCATTCTCCCAGTGGTTGGAACCTCATGGAGGTGAGCACCACAGTTATGAGCCCCATCAAAGTGAATGGGGAGCTATCTGCATCAAGCCCAGAATCTGGATTCAGCTCTATAAACCTGTAGAGCTGGCCTCCACTAGCCCTAACTAGAAATGAATAGAAGGGGTTGGGGGAGAGTGGCAGGGAAGGAGATGGGTGTTTTGTGCCAGCTGACCAGGTGCAGCATGACTATCTTGATCTTTTGTGGGTGGTTGTGAAGGAAAGAGGGTGATTTTTGATGTTGAAGCATACACTTATCTGTGAAAAGAAAGATGCAAACATTTTTCTTGACCACATTACCCTCATGACCAGAGGCATGGCTGGCTCCAACCTGCATAAATTACCAGAGAAGTTCACCACAAAGTAAATAGGGATCTGGTAAGACCAACCACAGCACCTGTAATCAGGTATGGTCTCCTCCAGATCTGTCTAGTCTTGGAGTATCAGGATGTTTGACCCACAGCTGCACTCTGGGAAAGAACTGCCCTGATCCTTCAGCTTCTTTGGGATCTGTATGAACTACTTCAGGATTTGGTACCCAGAACAGAAAACATTTAGTCCTACAAGAATTCCATCTAGAATTAGAGCACCACTGTCTCATCCCTCGACTACCATCACATGAGGCCTTTGGCTTACAGGAAACCTATTTTCTCCTTTCTGTGCCTGATGCTGCTCTGTATTTTCTTTCATTGTTTTAGTTTGCTTGCTCTGCCTTACTTTTATTTCTCTTCTTTCCCTATCTTTTGAATTTTATCCTATCTTCACTTTCATTTTTATTTTTTTTTCTGCTTATCTTTCCCAATTGCTGCTTCTTTCTTTTTTCTGCTTATTTTTTCTTTATTACTCTCTAATCTCTTTTCCTTTTACTAATGTCTTTTTTAATTGTATTTACTTATCTTTATTTCATTTTTATTTTCTCTCCTATTTTTTTCCTCCATACCTTTTACAATTTTTTTCCTTTCCCACTTTTCTCTTTTTAGTTTTCATATATTTTTCTGTTGTCTGCTTTTTTTTTTTCACTACAAATTTCTCTCTCTCTCTCTCTTTTTTTTTTTTTTTTTTGCTGTTGTTTGTTTGTTTTTCTTCTCTCTTTTGTGCATGGCTTCCCTTTCTTTCTTCACCTGACAGGCTAAAGCAACCATGACATATAACCCAGCCACAAACATGCCCTCTATAATGACATCACCCAGGCAACAGACAATACCAGGTGCTATACATCTGATCAATTACAGCAACCAACATAAACCAGGCCCAAACTAAACTGAGCTGCACAAATGATGAACAGAGAATTGTGCATGTGATTCCATTCCTTAATCACACCTATCAGGAGGCAGTTGGTAAGTGCCTAATATTATACCAATATACAATCATTAATTTAATATACCAACAACACAACAACAATATCTAGGAAGTAACAGACCATTTCTAGTCACATAAATAAACAAGATAGAGTGGCTCAAACAAATTATTATTGAGGAAAAAAGACATTGGAACCACCTGAAAAATAATTCAAGATAATGATATTTAGGTACCACCAAATGATTGAGAAAAAGGTTGAGGAAATAAGGAAAAATTCAGGAAAATACCACAGAAACAAATAAATAAAACAGATAAAGTATTAGAGACAAGTAATTAATACTAAGATTTCAGAAACAAAAATGCATTAAAAGAGCAAAGGAGCATGTTTGAATCAATGGAAGTCCAAATTAGTGAGCTTTGAAGATAAATCCCTTAATACTAGTAATCTACAAGAACAATCAGAAACAAAACAAAAATCCAAAGGAAACTTAAGATTCATGTGGGACAATACAAAGAGAAATAATGGATGATTGGAGTGGCAGCACAAAAAGAGACAAAGAGCAGTATAAAAAAGATAGTTTAAGAGGTGTTGGATGAAAACATCCCTAACATCATTAAAGATGAGAAGACAAACATTCAGGATGATTCCAAAAGAAAAACATGAAGACATATCATAACCAATCTCTCCAAAATGAAAGACAAGGAAAGAATCCTGAGAGCAACTCAGGAAAAATTGCAAATTACCTACAAAGTGGAACCAATAAGTTTAAGCTCTGATTTCTCAGAAGAAGCCACACATGCAAGAAATACAAATGGGAAGACATATAAAAACTCTGAAAGAAAAAGCTACCAACCAAGACTCATATACCCCAATAAAATGTCCCTCAAATATTTGTGAAATTAGAACGTTTCTGGCTAAACAAAAATTAAATGAATATATAAAAGCCAGACCAAGTTTACAAAACAAACAAACAAACAAACAAACAAAAAAACAGAGTCCTTTTGGACTTAGAACAAACAGTATCAGACAACAAGTTGATACTGACATACACAGCAACACCACAGCAACACCGTCCAAATATCAATAAAAATTTAGAAGCATCCAAAGTAAAACAAACCTATAAGCTTGAAGATTGGGGACAAAAGATACCAATTTATAATGAAGATAACTACAAAACAAAAAGAGGGAATGCAGTTAAAGAGCTTCCAATATTTGTTTGGATGTCTTAGCCATATGCAACATATGGGAATTAAAGTCATACAAATTAGCAAAGAGACCTGGTGTGGTGTTGTGGGTTAATGCTCTAGACTGTAAGGTTGGCTTGAACAGCAAGATTGGTGGTTCAAGCCCACCAGCTACTCCTTGGAGACTCCATACAGTGTTGTTATGAGTCCGAACTGATTCGATGACACATAGCAACAACACCAAATACAAGTTAGCCAAGAAGAAGTAAAACCCTCTCTATTTGCAAATGATATAAACCTATACATAGAAAATCCCAAAAATTTAGCAAGAAAATGACGGGAACTCATTGAAAGATTCATCAAAATGGCAGGGTACAAGATCAATATACAAAACTCATTTGGATTCCTTGGCACTAATAAAAAAAACAGTTCTGAAAAGGATACCAGGGAAAGAATACCTTTTATAGTAGCAACCCAAAAGATTAAATACTTAGGAATAAATTTAACCAGAAGGGGTTAAAAAGGCCTATACAAGGAAAACTACAAATCTCTACCATAAGAAATCACAAAAAGACTGACAAAAGTGGAAGAATGTGCCATGCTCATGGATAGGAAAACTTAACACTGTGAAAACATCAGCATTACTTCAGGTAATCTTTAGATATAAAGCAACCCCAATACTGATTCTAAGCTTTGGGTAGTGTTGATATTTTTTCACAATGTTAAGTCTTCCTATCCATTGACATATTTGTATATCTCTTTTGGTTTCTTGTTGTAGTGGTACCATAAGATACGCACTGGTCTGCTAACCACAAGGTGGGAGATACAAAAACACCAATTGCTCCGTGGAAAATCTATGCAGGGTCACTAAGAGTTGAAACAAACTCTATGTCACTTAACAACAACTGTCCAAAGCTATCTACCAATGCAATACAATACCAATCTAGAATCTGTCAATCTTTAAAGAAATAGAAAACTGATCACTAAATTTATATAGAAAGGAAAGCGACCTCAGATATGTAAAGTATTGCTTAAGAAGAAGAATTAAGCTGGAGGCCTCTCATTCCCTGATGTCAAAATGTACTATACACCCACAGGGTTCAAAACATCCTGGAGTCCTCTTTCCTGCTCAGCTCCACTATGGATCATGGTCCCAAGAAACATCTTAAGCATGTGGCTGCCCCCAAGCATTGGATGCTGGATAAACTGACTGGTGTGTTTGCTCCATGCCCATCCACTGGCCCAAACAAACTGAGAGAATGCCTCCCACTGATCATTTTCTTAAGGAACAGACTTAATTATGCCCTGACAGGAGATGAAGTTAAAAAGATCTGTATGCGGCGGTTCATTAAGATTGATGGCAAACTCCGAACTGATATATCATAGCCTGCTGGTTTGATGGATGTTATCAGCATTATCAAAACCGGAGAACATTTCCGTCTGGTCTATGACACCAAGAGTCGATTTACTGTTCATCGTATTACACCTGAGGAGATGAAGTACAATTTGTGCAAAGTAAG